TCTACTGCAAATTACCCTCAAGTAGGGGCAGTGCCACCCAAAAGCACAACCCAGCAACTCCCATGCACGCACAGCTGAGATGGGCTGGGGGTGGGGAAGCCTTGGGGCGCTGCGGGGCCATTGCAGCCCTTCCTCTCCTCCTCTTCCTCATCATTCCCGTGCAGGACAGCCATGTGCGTGGGGAAGTGCAGCCGGATCGTGGGGCCCTGCCTGCTGGTGCTGGGCACGCTGTCCATGGCAGCCAGCATCCTCCTGCTCTTCCCTGCTGGAGCATCCAAGTACCTGCTGGAGGGGCACATCAGCAGCCACGCCAAGGCTGTGCCCGGTGTCTGGGGAGGCGGCATCGCCGTGAGTACTGCGGGATCACCGTCCTTCCTCCTGGGCTGGAGCAGGGACTGAGGGATGCAGCAGGGCAGGTGGCTCCCCTTGGTCCCTCAGCTGTGGTTTTGTCCCTGCAGGTGCTGCTGGCAGCGACTCACACCACGGCGCTGGGGTGGCAGTGCCCCGGCTGCTCCACCCGCCACAACGTAAGCCAGGGCTGGGACCCCAACCACAGCAGAGTGGGGGGGATGTGGCCGTGGATCCTCCTCTCCCACGGTCCCATGGTGGATTGTGACAGATCCCCCCCCATCTCCTGTATTGGGTCACAGACCCCTTTTCTCATGGTCCCACGGTGGGATGTGGTGAACATCCCCTCTCCCATTGCAGACCCTGCTACTCTCCAATGGTCCTACCATGGGCCATGGCTGGGTGTAGTAATTATGCTGAGAAGGACACAACTGGCACCAACACCAGTTTTTTGTTAAAAACTTTTTACACCTTTCAGTGGACTTCTTCCCTCATAGGCAGCTCCACACAGCACTGACTCCTTCTCTCCTCTCTGCAAGTTTCCTTCTTCCTTCTGCATGACTGGCTAAACCCAAACCTGTCCCTTACCCTGTCTGTCCCTCACACAGCATCTTCTTACCTTGTCTGTCCCTCGTGTGACCACATGTCCCTCCCTCGGCCAGCAGACTCTGAATCTGAAGCTCTAACTGCATCTCAGCTTACTAACTACACTCTTTTATAATCCCCATCCTCACTGGGCAGGCAAGGCTGTCTCCACTTCTCTGCAATCAGTACAGCTGTAATTCATTGAGAAAAAATGCCTTCTGCACTATCCTTACAAACTATGTTCCCACAGCAGGGTGTCACCTCCCCAGAGGACAGGGCTCCAGTGAGTGCTGGGATGGGCTCTGCAGGTCACTGCCTCTCCCTACTCCCTGCCCACTTCATCCCCATCCTCAGCCACAGCTGGGCAGGGGAGTTTTCTCCCTCCCAAACTCTGCTGCCAACCTGCAGCTGTGTTTTGGATCTCCCTGACCTCCCGTGTCCCCCTCGGGTGCTCCCTGCAGGCTTTCATCTCCGTGGTGCTCTCCAAGCTGGCTCTCCTGGGCGCTGCCTCCTGCTTTGTCCTCTCTGGGGTGGGACTGACCAACGGCCCCCTCTGCTTCTACAACACCACCGAGGTCGGCCTCAGGCACGGAGCCCTCTGGGGATATCCCTTCCTGGATGCCATTGACCAGGGGCCTCATGCCAGGTGAGGGGCTGAATCATCATTGCCTCATCAAGTTATTGCTAATTAAGTGGATTCATTAAGGTGGTGGGGTGGTGGTTGATGAAAGACCCTGGTAGCTGAAGGAATGCTCACCTTCCATGGATTTCTACATGGTGATTTCCATCTTCATTACCCCCCCTTACCCTGCTCATCCTCTGGATGAAGGATGGGATATCTGGGGGATACTGCATATATTGGTGTTTCAGCACATAAAGGGGCTCCAAGAGAACTGGAGCTGTGGGAAAGGGCATGGAGTGACAGGACAAGGAGGAATGGCTTCCCACTGACAGAGAGTACATTTATGTTGGATATTGGGATGAAATTCTTCCCTGGGAGGGAGGCGAGGCCCTGGCACAGAGATGTCTAGGGGATACCTGCATGGCAGAAAGTGATGGGATTCCAAACCTGCTGCAGCTTCTCCCCTTCCTGTCACCCAGGGCTGACAACTACCTGTACAGTCAGAGAACCTGGAGCATCTGCCTGGAGCCCGAGGGCATCGTGACCTGGCACGTGGTCCTGTTCTCCCTCCTGCTGCTCATCAGCGTGGCCGAGATGGTGCTGGCCTTGCTCCAGATCCTCAATGGCTGCCTTGGCTGCCTCTGTGGCTTCTGCGAGGGGAAGTAAGGCGCGATGGCGGTGCCAGGAGGCTGCTGCTTGGAGGAGGAGTCACACGGGTGTCACTTGGCTGCTGGCACACGCCACGGAGATGGCACAGAGGGAGCTGTGACACCAGCCTGGTGCAAGAGCCCCGTGTGAGATGGACAGAGCCCTGGTGGGGGATGGACACCCCAGGTGTTGAAGCAGCTCGTGGGGCTGATGTGCCAAGGGCTGCTCCTGTGCAGATCCCCTGGCTCAGGCCATGTCCCTGCCCGTGGGGCTGGCGGCCGTTTGGGGTTGGAAACTGGCCCAGTAAGGGATGGAGGTGAGGACTTGGCTTCCAGCACCCCAGCATGAACCCAGCAGCTGCCTCGGCCACTCGTGATACTGAAATGAGGCAGAGAAGCAATTTTCTACCATAACACAGTTTGAAGCATTAGGAAGCAGGAATTCTTTATGACAGAGCTGGAGACATGCAGGACATCTCTGATCGAATGTGTGCTGTGAAACTTCACAACAGGGTGTTTGTTCCATCATGATCAGACAGATTGATTACAAGGGACTTCCTAGAGAATACATAAACATCACTTTCCTAGAACCAATTCACATGCCTCCACTCCTTCCTGGAAGTCCTTTCTGGTCCTGTTGTCTACAGGAATGTCTGGTGGTTGTACTCACTGAGTGCCCCAATATTGTGACCTTGCCTTGAACTTCTCTCAGGGCATGAGCTGCTGGTTTTTGTTACATAACTTTGCCACAAAAGTCCCTATGTTCCTCATTACCTGTTTCTGCAATGGTTCCAGTTGTGTTTAGCATCCCCTGTGCCTACTTTTACACCCTTTTATCTTATTTGCTAGTTAGTCTTTATGTTCTATTTTGCAACTTCAAGGGAACTGAAAATTTCTATTCTTCACGTCGTCTGTCACTTGTCAGCTTCCACCCACCCCGGTGGAAAATGAGACATGGTGGTGTCACAGACTGCAGAGCTGGACACTTTTGTTGATCAGCTCATATTGAGGGCAGTTGAGCTGGGATTTATCACCTGCACAGGGCAGGGCAGGTGAAGGAGACCCAAGGAGCCGAGCTGGGGCACTTGGGTGGAGTTGTGCTGGGGGAGGCAGAGCAGGAATTGAGGTGTAGCCCCCTAAAGTTCACCCACACAGCAGTGTCAGGATGCTGCTCATCCCCAGGAGCAGGATCCCCCTCCTGTGCTCAACCCTCTCCCCATAACCTTTACAGGACCCAGCGTGGGCCTGAGCCTGGTCGTGCTGGGAGGGGGTTTGTCCCCAGACTGACAGGGGTCACAGGACAGCAGTGATGGCCATGGCACATTAAAAAACCAAATCCCACACCAGACAAAACATTAACTGGGCCATTGGGGTGGTTGAACTCCAGTTGGCACCTGAGCACCACCCAGCCACTCACCCCCATCCTGTGGGAGGGGGAGAGAATCAGAGGGGTAAAAGTGAGACATCTCCTGGGTTGATATAAAAACACTTTAGTAATTCAAATAATAATAATAAATTGTAATGAAAAGGAAATTAATGAAGACAGAGAACTAAAAGCCCAGACAGACAAGTAATGCAACACAAACATTTCTTTATCATCAGCCCAAATATAAAATCCAGTCCCATCCCAGCTATGATGAAGGAACTGAACTCTACCCCTGCCCAAACCCCCACAGTAAATTCAGAGACACCATTGAGAAAAAGTCTTTTCATGAAAAAGAATTTGACATATTTATATAGTATAACTATTTATAACAAAGGAGGAAAGCCCTCAGAGCAGGGTGGTGGTACCAGCTGTGGCACAGCTGGAGCTCCACATCCCCCTGAGCCAGCACAGGGAATGCCACAGGGTACCCCTGGCTGCCTCCCCCCTGCACTGCTGCTGTTGCCCCCCAGTATTTGTTTGCAGAGGTGGCTCTTGCCTGGAGAGGAGCCTGGGGCTGGGCTTGGGGCAAAAGCCTCCTGTCTTGGGTTGCAATGCAGGATGTGACCAGGGCTGTGTATTCTTCACCAGCTGTTAAACCAGGTGTTGCAGTGTTCTTTATCTTTCCCACAGCCCATCCTTCCTCCAGGAGATCTCTCCTGTTAATGGCCATGGAGTCCCAGAGCATGGCTGATAAAATTCCATCATCCCATTGGGAGATGCTCCACCCAGGGGGAGGAGCCAAGCATTTCCTACCCAGATCAAATCTGAGATTTGGAACATCAGAGCAGCCTTTTCCCACTGGATTCCAGAGGAAAACCAGACCCTTCCTCATCATCACTGGAGCTTTGCAGGAAAACTGCACCTTGTCCAGGAGCCCTGCTCCAGCAGAACCACATCTGTCACTGCAGGAGGATGCAGCCACCATGGAATGGGACTGCACCAACACCCTGAGTGACTGATGGGGTGTCAGGTTGGATTCTGACTCTGTCAGTGCTTTGGGCTTGTTCTCTGTAATATTGTATTTCTATTTTAATTTTTCCTAGAAAAGAACTATTATTTCTATTCCCATATCTTTGCCTGAGAGCCCCTTAATTTCAAAATTATAATAATTTGTAGGGAGGGGGTTTATATTTTCCATTTCAAAGAGAGGCTCCTGCCTTTCTTAGCAGACACCTGTCTTTCAAACCAGGAAACCTCCCCACCCAACCAAAACAGAATTTTAAAAATAGCAATAAAAATGAGAGAACCCCCAGTGTGGGGACAGTAACACACCTCTGTGCGATGTGGCCATGCTGGATGGTGGCAGGACCCAGCCCATGGGTCGATGCTCCAGGATGCAGCACTGGCGTGGTGGGGGGAGCTGAGCTGGGCTCTAGGAGATGAGGCAGCTCCTTCTCCTCTTGCCCCGGTGGCGCGTGGGGCCGCGGCCCCGGCGGGGAGCAGCAGCTGTCAGGGGGATGTTCTGGAGCACATCGTGCAGTGTGAACATGCTGAAGGAGATCTGCTCATAAGGAGACCTCATCCCGTTCTCGTAGAGGCAGGCGAAGGCGATGGCTGTGCCACCGGCCACCGGCGCGTCCCTGTAGGGCAGCTCCAGATAAGCCAGGTCTGAGTAAGCGCTCGGGCCCTCGTAGATGACCCAGGGCTCTGTCCAGCTCTCTGCATCCCTGGGGAAGGTGCTCAGGTGAACCCCCATGTTAACCCGAGACATGGAGCTGGTGGGGTGGGAGTAGAGGATCCAGGTTGGTGCTTGGAAGAAAGGAGTAGAGCTGGGGGTTGCTGCAGAGTGCCCCTGGCCCAAGGTGACACTGTGGGCATCACCGTGGTGCCCTGGGGTAGGACAATCCTCACTGGGCTCATGGAGGTTGCCAGTGGGCAGCTCAGCACCTCCTGCCTGTCGGGTGGGCAGGTGCCCAAGCCCCCGGAGCGCTCCAGGGAGCAGCGGGAGAGCTGAGCCCTGGAGGGGCATCCCGGTGTCCCGGGAGGCCGTGGGGACATACACCAATGGTGCTGGGAAGCCAATGACACTGCCGTGACAGCCATGGGGGGGCTCCACCAGCCGCTGGACCAGCTGCCCCCCATGGAAAACGGCCCCATCATCCGTGCTGAGTGCCTGCACCCTGAAGCCCAAGGGGCTGCGGGCGTTGCAGTAGAGGACGTTGGATCCATCCTCCTCATCCACTGAGACCAGCTGGCACTCGCCCGTCTGCAGGTTGGGAATGAACTCCCCGAAGCGCCAGGCACGGCCGTGGTCGTCGCTGTAGAAGGCGAAGGAGTGCGGGGTGGTCTTGCAGAGCTGCCCAAAGCACTCCTTGCAGTCGATGTGGTAACTGTAGGCAGGCACCAGCAGCCGGCCAGAACGCAGCTGGATCCCGTGGCCAGGGCCCAGCGCGAACGTCGCCCAGTCTGGGGAGCGGAGATGGGATGGGGTGAAGGTGGGATGGGGTAAAGAGTGACCACCATGGTGTCCTGCCATCTCAATGTGGAAGGCTTCCTCAGTCAAGCCAAGCCTAGTAGTGGGGTGGGAGGGCAACAGAGCCCAGTGCTGCCTAGTTGTCCTCTCACATGCTCCTGCCCATGACTTTGAGGTCTCTCCATCTTCTCCCCACCCCCAGTAACTGATATGGATACTCCCTGAATCCTTTCTCCCCTCTGCTTGAGGTCCTCTCCCACCTTTTTGGAAGCTTGTGGGATTCCTATGTCAAAGGCACCCCCAGCGATGCCATTGGTGGCTTCAGGAGGCCAAAACCCAGGGCCACCCCCTTGCTGGCTGCTCTCCCCTCTCCTCACCCCCCTCCAGTTAAGTACCTTTGATGGTCGCACCAATGACCTGCTGTGTCAGGTCTGTGGCTGTACTCCAGCTCAGGCCCTGGTCAGCACTGGTGACACAGCAGAGGCGGGTGACATTTTGGCCAGTGACAATCTGGTAGGCTTCAGGTGTCCTGCCCAGCACCGTGATGAAGAAGAGGAAGAGGGTGCCTGTGAACTCATCGTAGAGTGGGCAGGGGTTCATTGACCGATGGTGCTGCAGCGTTGCTGTCTCCAGCACACGCATGTCTTCCCACTGCCCAGGGAGGAGGAGGAGGAGGAGAGGACAGACAGGAGTAAGGACCATCCCAGAGCAGCTGTGGCTGCCCCAGCCCTGAAGTGTTCCCGGCTGGCTTGGACAGGGCTTGGAGCAACCTGGGATAGCAGAAGGTGCTAATGAGACCCCTTTGAGGTCCCTTCCAACCAAAACCCACCCATGACCCTGTGATTCACCCCACCCACGCCAGCCTCCCCTCCCCGCGTGGCTGTCTCCAGGAGCTTGGCTGTAGCACACCCAAGCGAAGAGGCCAGCCCCCAGCCTGTCCCCAGCCCCCAGCCTGTCCCCACGCTGGGGCACCCCTGTCCCACCTCCACGTAGCTGCCGTAGATGGTGCCGCGGCGCAGCACCAGCAGGTTGGCGTGGGCATCGTCGGCGCTGAGCCGCTCCTCGGCGAAGGCCAGCAGCTTGGCCACGCAGGGCAGGTAGAGCAGGGCGGGCACACGATACGTGACACCGTTGGATTCCTTCTCAAAGAGCACGGTCCGGGCCGGGAAGTGCCGGGAGCCCATGGCAGCTGCAGCAGAAGGATGTGGTGGGCTGATGAAGCTGGGGGGACCGGCTGCTGAGCATGGGAAGGGCACGGGGTTGTCCTTGGAAAGGTTTGGGGTTTAACTTGGGTGTGGGTAACCCCCCGGGAGAGGAGGCTGAGGGGCAGGGCTGTGGGGGAGAGAGGCTGAGTGTGTGCTGGCAAGTCATCACAGCTCAGAAGTGGGTCAGGGCATAGGGGATCAGCGAGGAGGCTGACCTGGGGACCCCAAAATAAAATGAAATAAAATTGACCTTTAAGATGCTTATCTGGGAAATGAAGGCAAAGAGCAGGGTGAGACCTGCAGCTCTAAGCTCCCTTCCAGGAGGCATTGGGAGGGCAGAGCCCACAGACGAGACCTCCGAAGCAGCCCAGGCTCATGGTGACAGGGTCAGGAAGTGTTCTGTGCCTCTGGTGCCCCCAGTGCAGTGGAGCCAGCTGGCCCCTTGTTCCCCCTCCTCTGCGGAGGGAACCTGAGGTGACAGTGGGGTCCCCAGCCAGGCTGTCCCTGTGGCAGCGGCTAAGAGCTGTTCCCAAATGCCTTTCCTTCAGGGACAGGTTAGCCGTCCCCAGCTTACATGTCCCTGCATTTCCCTGGAGATTCTCACCACAGGGGATGGCATCCGCTCCAGGCTCAGCTGGAGCAGTCACAAGCAACTCTCACCTGTGGTTTTAACAGGATTCTACACCCCCCGGAGAAAGCGAAGGCACTCACCGGGTGCTGTTCAGCTGGAGTGTCCCCTCTGTCCCTCGGCCCCACCACGGTGTAACGCCGGCTTTCCGCAGAGCTGTCGCCTCACTGCTTGGCCGCCACCCCCTCCCCTGGCGGGGTCCCCCCTCCGATGGGTCACGGGGCTCCCACGGCGGTGCCCGCGAAGAATCCCTGAGTCAGCAGTGGCGCTGGTGCGGCGCCCGTGGCACAAAGGCGCCGTGACGAGCCCGGATACAGCCGGGGGCCCCGCGGCTGCCGAGCCACCTTGCTCGGACCTCCGGGAGGGGAAGCAAGGGGATCCATGGGGCGGGAATTGCATCTCCTGCCTTAGTTTCCCTCCTCCTGCAGGCTGGGAGAGGCTAGACTTGCCCGTCCAGGGGCTCCAGCCCATGTTCACCACAGTCCACCCCACCGTGAGCTCCCCAGCCTGGGAGCTGTGGTCCAGAGAGTCCCAGCCCTCCCAGGACCCCCAACCTTCCATGGACCCCCAGCCGTCCCAGCCTTTCCAGGATCCTCAGCCTTCCCAGGACCCCAGCCCTTGCAGGACCCCCAGCCCTATCCGAACCCCCAGCACCACAGAATCCACAAACTTCCCAGGAATCCCAGCCCTCCCAGGATGCCCAGACTTCCCAGGACCTCCACCTGCACAGAGATCAGCTACTAAGAAACTATTTTTATGCCCATCTTCCAGTATTCCATCTCTGTGATCAGTTTAGATAAAATGGCTTGAAAAAATTCATGTGACAAATCACGGATCAGAAGCTCTAAGGGGAAAACTGAGGTGGAGGCTGCAGAACTGAAGGGGAAGGGTCCCTGGGATGGCCCAGGGTGACCACGTGTGGCTCCAGCAGCTCCTCCTGGCTGCTACAAAAGCCTCCCAAGCCTCGGGTTAATTTTAGTGAGAGTTCCTGTAACACGGACCGTGTAAAAGGTTGTTAATCTGGGTTGTTCCTGCTGGACACCTGGGCTGGTTAACCCCTGCCTCAGCTGCTAAACACAGCTGAGGAAAATGCTGGCTCTGCTTCTCAGCCCTCTCCCCCTGAGAGCATCACTCCTGCTTCTCAGCTGGAACTGCTGCCCCCCAGTTTCACCCCCAAGGCAACACTGCCAGCCAAGTGACCTCAGATCCATCCTCTCCATCCTGCCCAGCTGCTGCAGCAGTGCCAACAAGGTTTGTGAGGATGGCAGCACCAAGCCCAATGGATTTGGTGTCACTGCTTGTCACTTGTTCCCAACACATCTGTCAGTGCAAACTTACAGTAACAAAACTCCAGTGTTTTAAAGCTGAGCCAGCATCTCATTTTGCCTGTGCTGGTCAGGGCAGCAGCAGGAACCTGGATGCACCAGTGTGCCCAAAGCTGTGCCTCATTCCATCCCCTCCTAATCTGTGCTGGAGAGTTTGGCCAACACAGCAAGGGGAGCCCCAAAAACACGTCTGCTGATAAAGGGCTTCGGGGATGCTGTACCCAAAGGAACGTCCATGCCCAGGGACCCTTGCCTGAGAGCAAGGGGCAAAACCACAAAGCCTCCTCCCAGGGGAGCACTGACCTCTCCCACATGAGACAGAGACCTGGTGACACATGTGAGAGGCACAGCTTACATGCCACCGGGCAAGGCAGCCAGCCTGCCTGGCTTCGGGTAGCATGCCTGGGACTCCCATGCCAAAGGCAGCTCCAGCAGCGTGTGGTGGGTAGTCCTCACTGAGTGTGGATGCTGCTGGATGGGACACCCACCATCTCTCCTGCTTCTTCGAGCATTGTGTCCCCTTGTCACACTCCCCACACTTCCCTCCCCTAAACTCTGCAAAAATCAGGACTTGCTCCAGTGAACTGTAACCAGACCGACACAATGATGGATATCAAGCAAAACCAAATGAAGGCAAATGATCACGCTCGTGATTAATGATTAAGAGGCTGGAATGTCTTAGCCAGCTGCAGCCAGCCTGACTCTCTCCAGCTGGGAGCAGGCAGGTGGGATCACCCAGGATCTGGTCAATGCAAAGCCTTTGGCTCAAGGTCCCCAAAAAGAGACCAACCACCAACTTGGTGACCCTAAACAAAACCCCACTGCCTCCCCCTCATGCACAAGAGTCCTGTGGGTTAGTTACAAGTCAGACAAGTGGTAGGAAGCCCCAGTGGGTTGCCACATGTCCTAGTTGGACACTGGGAGCTGGACACTCCTCTCCTGGAGGTCGGTCCACAGCAATGGCAGTCCCACATCTTTCCTCTTCTTGTGTGGGTGTTGGACAGCGTAAAGGTAGGATGTGTACTGGAGCTCTGGTATGACCATTTTCTGGCAGGTTCTCAAAGTCCTGTTGTCCAAATCTTGTTTGAGGTTGTAACCCAGGATATTTGCAGCCCCTGACTGGAAAGGCAGGAGAGCTTTATTCCTGATGTCATCCTTCCTCACTGCCTCCTGCTCTGAGAGACAAGTCTCCATGAGCTCCTTCTGTCTGCTCTGCAGGTGATCCACCTCCTTTTCCAGCACCTCAAGCCCTATGGTCTCCTCAATTCTTCTCCAGAAGCTTTGGTTGAAGTGCAGATAGAGCTTCCAGTCCAGTGAGCACCATGCTTTTATCTGCTCCTCACTTTCTGGAGTCAACGTCTGGACAGTGTCCTGGCTTCTGGAATTGAGCTTGAAGTAAATCACATCATCCAGATCCCAGCACAAAGTGTGCTTCAAGAGGATCATGGACTCATCAAAGTAGTCTGCTATCAAGATGAGGTGGAAGTTCTGCTCAATCTCCTCCAGGACGGCCTGGGTGTAATTTGTGTCATCCTCTGCGTTGTTATCGTAGCCAAAGTCAAACCACATGATATTCCTGGCATAGATGTTTTCCCTGTAATCTGCTGGGTGGTAATACTTTGTGGGTGATGCCAGGAACTCATTCACATTCTTGGAGCTCCTGAAGGCAGGCACATTGTTCTTGTAGTAGATGTAGGAAGACTCCAGCAGAGGAATGGGGTTCCTCAGGATGGAGAAGTAGAAGGTGTTGGCTGCCATCACCCTCTTTACCTATTTGTGGGAGAAAGAAGAAGTTAGTCCTGTCCCAACCAAGTTTCTCCTCAGGTGTCATGGCTCTTTCTTACCTCCAAGGGGTTAAACCGCAGGTGGTTGCACATGATGTTGTAATTTTGGCCTATGGTTTCAAAACCCTCCACAAAGTGGGCCACGAAAGTCTTTGGGTATCCCAGGTGGAAGAGCTGGGCAGCAGGGAGGGCGACAGTGAGGTTGTACCTCTCTGCGAACCTGAACATGATGTTGAGCACAGTGCTGCTGGCAGTCTTGTGGGTTTTGAGGAACATGACGTTTGTCTTGGCATGGCACGGTGTGGGAAGGATCAGCAGCTCCTCGTGGCTCTTTGAGATTCTGCAGGAAGGTGACAGATGGGGCAAAGAGACTCTCTGGTGCTGCACCCCATCTCGGAGACCTGGCAAAGCCAAACCCAGGTGCTCCTCTGACACCACACCTGCAGCTGGTCCAAAGCTGCATCCAAATCAGCCCCAACCCTCCAGTGTAGATGTTTTTCCTCTTAAGTTTTCCTCCTCTCCAGATTCTCACTTAGCAAAGATTTCAGCTCAATCCCCTTTTCCCACACAGCTGGTTTTGTCCCAAAGAGGCTGTGCTTCAGCTAATTCAATTCCTCCCCCAAACATGGATCCAGGACCTCGTTTTGGGTCTTAGCCCAAGCCTCATGATAAATAAATCAGGTATCAGAGGTAATGTCCCAGCTGCTCCAGGCACAGGAAACTGCAACCTTGCTTCTGCCTCACTTACCTGTAATTCTTATTCTTCACATGGAAGTATCCTGAGAGGCAGGTAAGTCCCAGGCAGAGGCTGAAAATGATGAGATACCTGCCATGCCTGGGAAAAAAGAAGAGTTTCGGTGGACTTTTATCCAATAATCCTTCTCTGAACCACCACACTTCACACCCTGCCCTCAGGAGCTTTAATGACTGTGAGCACAGTTTTATATCTCAGTTTTGGTAGCCACCATTGGACCCCGAGGTATGTCAGCAGCTCTGGCATCAGCAGCAAGACAGTGAGAAATTGCACTTTCACCATTACTCCCCTTATTTCGGCCTTTGGCAAGACACAGTGTGCTTCAGGCAGAGCCTAAGCTCTTCCCACAGCCTCCTGCTCTGCTTGGCTGCCTTCTGTTTTGCTTTTCTTTCGGTTTTCTGGGGCTTTAGAGCTTATTCACTATTCAAACTCCTGGATTATTCACCAGAAAACGAGCCCTTTGTAGGGGTATAAAGACTTCCCTGGTG